GTTCTCACCTTCACTCTCCTCCTCCTCGGTCATCTCTCCATCAGACCCTGACTCCAGAGGTGGGCCATCCAATGGGCTCAGTCTCCTGGTTTGGACATCGCTGCCAGGGGGACAGGAAAGACACCACATCAAGACTAAGGCTGCACGCTGGAACTACATGGAAGTGTGCTTGAAATCAGGAACAGGAGCGTGTCGTTACCCAGAGAGTTGTGGGAGTGTGGAACAAGCTATCCAACCATGTTGTTGAAGCCGATATTCTGGCTTCTTTCAAGGAACATCTGGATGAGACTCAGGGGTTAATTAGCTACTAATTAGCTCCTAATTACTGAATGGGCCAGATGGGCTGGACAGCCTCCTCTTATCTGTAACCCCTCACAAGGGCACAAAAATTAGGTTCCGAAACCAATGGCCTCCTTTCTTTTGTCACTGTTCTTATGAGAACTTCATTTCCCACGAGGACAACAATTTCCATGAGGACTCCGTTTCCCATGAGGACTCTGGGGCAGGAAACATTCTGAGGAACTGCCAACCCTGGGAATAAGATTTCTCACCACATACAGTTAGCTCCTAACACCACTGGTGTCACACAGAAGTAGGGCAGTCCAAACACTGTTAATTAGTTGCATTCCCTCCTCATCTTTGTTCCTGACGCAAGCAGATTTTGTCTGAGATGTTGCAAAGTAGCTCCTATTTACATCTTCATTTACAAGAGAGAAAGACATTAAAAATTCAGCAACTGAGCATTGGAACCAGTAGCACTGGCTGTATTTCTAATGCCTTGCAGTGTATTTTACAGCCTAATTTTCATCATCTTTACCGTTTCTTCATTTTCGCCTAGATTTGTCCCGGATCACCAAGTTTTTGGATTCTAAACTTAAACTTAAAAAAACTAAAACCAGTTTGGGGCGGCACGGTGATTGGTCACAGCAGTGGGCCCCCATGTTCAATTCCTGGGGTGCTATATGTGTGGAGTTTGCATGTTCTCTGAGTTCATGGGTTTTTTTTTTTTGGGTGCTCCAGTTTCCTCCCATAGTCCAGAAACATGCTGGTGCGTTAATTGGCTTATTGGAAAATTGGTCCTGGTGTGAGTGTGTGTGTTTGTGTCCGTGTGTGGCCCGTGATGGACTGGTGTCCTGTCCAGGGTGTGTCCTGCCTTCTGCCCACTGCGAGCCAGGGGGTCGCCTCAGAGCCAAGAGGGTTAAGCAGAACTCCTCCAGAAACACTCCTATACCCACGTTCCTGCTGGGCGATGTCACTGCTCGGGACATTGATGACGTTAGGGAAGGTTGCAACAGGGACCAATCAGCATTGCTCTAGAAAGAGTTCGACCAGGGTTCGGGAACAGTGGATCTCTGGTGCGCAGGGGTGGGGGTGGGTTCAGCTTAAAGCGATTTCCCTGCGCCCCAGAACTGTCTGCGTACTCCAGCCCCGGCCGAGAGACGAACTCTTGTCGTCTTTCATTTCCTCAGATCCCTGCTCCTCACAGCTTTGCTCCTCTCCTGCTGTGAGGCCGAACGCTGGGAATCGACAGCTTGTTGCCAATGTGATTGATGAGGCTCCGGCTGGCTGCTCGTGTCTGACGCAACGCTACATATGGGCAGGTAAAAACAAGCACCAGGCCGGTTGTGTGTCAGTACAAGGGAAATATAGGACACAGCAATAAAAAAAGGCCAACCTACATTGTTAAAGGTGACCTGGGACGCCATCTTTGTTTGTTGGGGTGAGAGAAAGAATCAGCACTGATGAGTGCATTTAAAAACCTGTCACGCCCCACACTCTCCCTGGCAAACGCCGTTATATTCCCAGAACCACTGTTTCACAATCTCATCCCTAATTGAACCCATCACATTCCCACATGCACTAGATTCCACACATTCTCACTCCCTAACCAATTATCCAACCACATCCCTTTCCTTTCAGTATTTAAACTCCCCTCACACTCCTACCCATGCTCATTAGTGAGAAGCTTGTAGTATTCTTCTAAGTCTTTTGATAGATCTCCCATTACTAAATTTTTGCTCCTGCCTTTTGGCCATGCCTTCTGGATTTTGTCTTTTGGATATTTCTTGTTACCAGACCCTTTGCCTCCTTAATTGACCAAGCCTCTGGTTTTTTGTCTTTTGGATTGTCCCTTTGCTACTCTGTGTTCTGTGGGATTCACAGTCATGCATAAGGATCCTCCTATTCTACCAATAGGTTCCCTGCCAAAACCACAATGAAAGTAAAATGTAAATTGGAGGTTTTATGCATTACTGTATACATCACAAATAGAGGAAATTTCCAGGTCCGTGCAGTGCCATATTCTGCAATTCAGAATGAGGCAACAAAACTTCCAGTGAGGTGATGTGGCTCTATTATACTGTAAACAAGCAGGCTTGTGAATCCATCTCTTTTAATCCAATAGAAATATTGCTCTTGACTTTGAGAGGGTTTTGGTAACAAATACTACTTTTTGACTCTACATCCAGATCAAGCAGGAACATTTCTGCAGTGAAGTATCTGCTGCACAACCTGTACTAATTTGCTCATCTCACTACATCACTCATTAGAGGGACTAGTGAGCAGGAAGGACTGCTTCATGTCACAGTTCTTGTGAACTCATTCTCGCCCGTGATGAGACCAGTACTTTCACAAAGTTCCTGATTTTGTGCTTAATTCAGAATTTGTTTGATTTTTTTTTCTAGAATGGCAATTGATTGTTTTTACCATGATTTTAATAACTATTGCAAAATGCTATGAATGTTGTGGATAATAAAATGAATTTACATTCTTTGAACCCAAAGTAGTCAACATACCTTGCAGGGCAGACAGCATATGAAAACAAATGCGTTGGAATTAACAATCAAATGGCCTCCTCCGTTCTGCAAGCTTATGTTAACAGTTATGTAAAAATGAATTTATTAACCATTTTCCTGTTGGACTTGCGGCAGAAGTACCGTCAAGGGAAGCACAGAGGCACAGAACTCGTCTCCTACTGCAGCTGCTCGGTTTTCACATTTGTTTCTCAGCAGAGCCAAAGCAACACCCTTTCAAAGGGTTTCCCTTCACCTGCTATAAACGTTTGCGTAGGAGCAGGCAAACAGACTCTGTGTGCTTGAATCTGCAGTCAACTGGACCTGCTGCCCACTCGAGATCTACTGTTTTAGTGATCTGACTCCCTTGATGACCATCGGCCCCTCACCTCTTCTTGCTATTGGCTGGCAGCTGCTCCCACACGGTGAGGCTCCGCCCTCCAGTGACCCAGCGGTGACCCCCACTCGGGGTCAGCCAGGTGGCCAGGCAGAGGATTCTGGGACTTTCGGGCCAGGACAGAGATGCTAGGTACCTGTTGTCAGGGAGACTGCGCACTGAGAGGGGAAGGCAGAGACAAAACACAGCAAGGTAACTGTGGCTCATAATAATATTAATAACAATAAAGTAAGGAGTCTCTAGAAAGAGCAGTGGGAAAGAAGGTCTCACTCTATTGCTAGTTCTACAGTTTATCATACAAATGATAAATTGTAATATAGCAAACACTTGGTTTAATGGACTCATGGGGGAAAGCGGTGTCAGTTATTGCTGAATGTCCACAATATTGTTTTATGAGTCCCAGAACATGCTATTATACAGGAATAATATATATATATAACGTATACTGTATATGATTCCTAAATCTTGTGATTTATTTTTAAACACTTACAATCAGTCAATGAAAATTGTTACCGTGTGAAAAAACTGTATATGTTTCTATCATGAATGCACAAACTCTATTTCATGTGTCATAAATATACTGTATAGAAGTGTCTAAAGCACACAATCACAAACAATACCCATTGTAAGCAACCAGCCTGCGTCTGTCTATAGGGCACCACTTCCATTCCCGAATTTCAGCCCTAGGTAGTTTTTGTTTTTACCTTGTTTTATTTTGTTTTTACCTTGTTTCCCTATTACTGCCAGGAAAGTACAATTTTTCTGATTTTGCAGACAAAATTCTCCTTTGGCAGATTTTGTCCATTAAATTTGAACTCTGGTGAAGCAAAGCCCATTAAACCACGTTTACTGTACTTGTACCATTAATATAAATAATGTTAATGAGCAAAGTGATAGGATATTAAAGTTCAGGGCAGCTGTAAGAGCAGGAATAAGAGTACAGTTTGGACATCTCTTTAGCAGAGCTGGATTGGAGTAATCTTGTTGTTTTACAAGACTAAAACAGTACATATTATGCTCACAGTTAAGACTGCTCTCCCCAGTTTCTAGGTCGAACCCGGAGCCAATCAGAATCCCCTCTGTCTGAGTGACACAGTCTGATACCCCAGACACAGAGCCGTGGTTGGCCAGTCTGGACACCGAGCCTGAGACAAAGTGAGAATTGGAATGGATTAACAGGGGTGGATCAGTTAAAACAGAATAAAAAACAGACACATCCTCTCTGTCTACCAATGGAGAGACTTTAAAGATGTCCTGCTTGCACTGCAGAACGGAATCATCCCTAGGGGGAGGATAACAAACCCTGCAAAGCAGTGACCCGGGCGGTTTAACAAATCACATGAGGAAATAGAGGAGAAAGAAAGCACTCTGTAGAGCTATGCAAAAAGATCTCTCTCTCCCACCGTTTCTCCAATCCAGGACTCCCAGGCTCGCTCGCCCATCTGCGACGTACACTCTCTCCCCCCGCGGGCTGAGGCAGCAGACCCCTGCCAGGCCGGTGTGAACGGGGCTCCAGTGAGTCAGGCGCCGAAGGGGGGCGCTGTCACCCCGCGACCCCGCCGTAACCTCCCAGACCGACACTCCCCCGTCTGCCGAGCCGCTGAACAGGTGAGGGCCGTGAGTCTGCCGTGAGAGAGTGGCTTTGGTGACCCGCGGGTGGGAACAGGGATTATGGGGAGACATCAGAGCCGTAGAGCCCCAGTAGAAGTCTGGGTAAACCGAGGCTGTGATTGTCCAGGGTGAGAGTGGACAAGGAAACCTGAGGTCAATGCAGATCTTGTCACAGTTGAGGGGATCAATTTAAAAAAATAGAGAACAGAATAATTGTGTGGAAGTGCCTTTCTAAAAGCAATCAAGACAAATTCTCTTTAAAGCACTGCATCCGAATACTGGGTTGATATTCAAATGGTCACAACTATGACGTTGTTATTTTACAACAGGCTGTTCTAGCCTTAGGCTTAGCATTACTTCCTGGCACTGCTGGGGCCCTAGTTTCAATTCCCGGGGTGCTATCTGTGTGGAGTTTGGATGTTCTCCCCATTTTTACATAGATTTCCCCTGCTTAGAAAATGGATGGACAGATGTAAAGAATGGAAGATACAAAGCATTTCAGTCTCCTGGACAATGAGGGGAAGAAGTAAAAAAGGCAAATAAAATGCTAGCATATATAGTTAAACGTGTATAATTTAAATCAAGGGATGTTATTTTATAATTGGATAATGCACAAGGTCCCATTTAGAACATATGCAAAATGTTAATCGGCAGGTTATAGTAAAAGATATTGCTGCTCTGGAAACAGTCCAGAGAAGAGCAAGCAGACACCTTCTGGGGTATAAGGGAGTGCTCCACACTCACAGGCTGAAGGCCCCGAATCTTTTTAGTCCTGAACAGACAAGGTTACGAGACGGAGCCTGATCCCAGTATTCAGAACTCTCAGCTGTTACTGAAGAAGTCAGCCCAGTGGACAGCTTCAGAAACCAGTGCATTTACAAGATGAGACAGGTCTTTACACAAAGGGTTGTGTGAGTCTGGAACAAGTTGCCTAGCCATGTAGTTAAAATGGCACAGTTTAACCTGTACTTAAAGTGGATCTTTTGACCTGACAATTAGACATTTTCTTAGTGTCTTAGTGAGACTTATTCATGACACCTTACTTATAACCTGGGCATAAACTGTATCTGGGGTTCCAAGAAAAGCTGAGAGAGGTTGTTTTTTTTCTACAGAAAACTATTGAGGAAAAACCATATGGTTAACGCTGTCCCTGCAGACCTACTTACCAATATGAATACAGATAAATGCAGTGTAAAGTTATGTGGCCAACAGAAAGTAAGTGTTCTGATCTTCAGAACTGACAGCTGTTTTGGAATAAATATCTCACATAGACACAGGCTGAAGTTTATCTCGACCCACCAGCAGTTCCGAAAAAAAAATATAATTCCATATGTAGTATTACTTTGACTTAAACTGTATTTGCTTAAATATATTGTGGTCCCACTCCCAGTATTTCAGTGATACAGCTTTAAGGCATTTGCTTCTCTGCTCCTGAAGGGTCAGCTTGTGTCTGAAGGTGAAGGAATTAAGACACATCAATCAGTCTCCTGTCTATGTAGGTTAAAATACCAAGAGGTACAGTTAATTTTTCCTTCACGCCTTGAGTGTGCAATTAATATCTGCAGCTACACGGATACAAAATGTACAGGAGGGAACATTGGCTCTCAGGGAACATAAAATGTTTCATTCTGGGCTCTGGAGGTTTTAAACAGAACGCAATTACAGTCCCCCAAGGAGGCTGCAGTGCCTATCCCACCACAAATGTCATTAATTAATAATTAATTGCTTACATTTATATAGCGCTTTTCTGGACACTCCACTCAAAGCTCTCTACAGGTCATGGGGATCCCCTCCACCACCCCCAGTGTGCAGCCCCACCTGGATGATGTGATGGCAGTCATAGTGCGCCAGAACGCTCACCACACACCTGCTCTCAGTGGGGAGGAGAGCAGAGTGATGTAGCCAATTCATAGAGGGGGGTTATTGGGAGACCATGATTGGTAAGGGCCAATGGGAAATTTGGCCAGGACACTGGGGTAACACCCCTACTCTTTTGAGAAACGCCCTGGGATTTTTAATGACCACAGAGAGTCAGGACCTCGGTTTTATGTCTCATCCAAAGGACGGCGCCTGTTTACAGTATAGTGTCCCCGTCACTATACTGGGGCATTAGGACCCACACAGACCGCAGGGTGAGCGCTCCCTGCTGGCCCCACTAACACCTCTTCCAGCAGCAACCTTAGTTTTTCCCCAGGAGTCTCCCCTCCAGGTACTGACCAGGCTCACACCTGCTGAGCTTCAGTGGTTTGCCAGTTGTGAGTTGCAGGGTGATATAGCTGTCCATACAACACCCGAAGCACTGCAGCACTGCTACCTGATGATCACTGAGCAGGTTTAACGCAGTGATAAAAAAAAAAATACTCGCCAAAGAGAACAGGTCATTTTCGAGGCCTTTAGTGGGAACTGGAGCAAGTCCTCTCAAGGATGTCAGGGTATCGGCTTCAACAGCATGGCTGGGCAGCTTGTTCCAGGCTCCCACACCCCTTTGTGTAAAGAGCACCCCCCCTGGCCTTGGCTCAAAATACACTTCCATGTAGTTTCAAGGGCCAGCTGTTATTCCTCTTGTAATAACTTTTGCCGATTCTTAAACTATCACATGCCAGACGGGTATTTGAAGGCACGAGCAAGGGCTGTTTTTTTTTAAGGCCGTTAAGGAATTTTAATGTAGACAGCCCATCATTTTATTCAGAGAATTCTGTCCTTTGTATGCAAGGGGTGACTCGTCCTTGCAGAAATAAAAATAATTTGGACAAGGTGATCGGGACTGGTGGCAAGATTATTATTATTAACCTTACACATAAAATCTGAGACGACCCCTCTCATCCACTCTCTTTAGAATATACTCTCCTATCCTCTAGAAGGAAGTGTGAGATCCCCTCTATAAAGACTAAGAAAGCATTTATTTTCCTTCATACCTGAAAGCATTCAGTTGATGAACAATGAAAATCTTGCTTGCAGGCAGGGATATTAATATTTTTATTGTAGTTTTAGATACTTTACCAGCTAATTGTCAATTTTTTTAATCTTATGGATGGGATTGAGTTCTGATTGAACAACTGTCGTTGAATGTTGTTCTGCAGCACAGTATTGTGCTGTTGTTAGCCGGTATTACATGTTTAGGAGCTCTTGATGTGCAAGACACATTCCCTCAGGGACAATAAAGGTTAATCCAATTCAATTTAAACCTGAACGTGTATTCTCTAATTGATTTAAAACATTCTTGCTCGTGTTCCATCATTCGTCCTGGTTTAAAAGAAATATACTCGACTATGGGGAAAATATATATACTGTACAGGTCAGGATTTAAATACTCTTTAATATCTCTCATGTTTCAAGTGTTACATCATTCAGCTATAATTGCTGTCCTATTTCCATCATGTTGTTATTATTAGAGTGAAACTTGAATTCACCTTTAATTTAAATTGTCAGTTGGATACAAATCAATATCTTTTTAAGTTATTTTCTTTAATCTCAATTTAAAAAAAAAAAAACTCAATGTGATCCGCTAGGTTTCACTAGCTCGTGACATCTGGGATGAACAAATTTCTTTTATTGTCTTATTTTGGATTATATTTTGTCACAGGTACTGAGAAAAGCTCCTTGAAATAGATGACTTACAGATTTGAAGGCTGACAGAGATCAGGTGTTACTGGAATTTTTTCAAGAACCAGGCTACCTTATTTAAGAAAATGCGCTTTATTGACACTTTTTATCCAGAGGACTAAAGCATTTGTTTTATTTTTTTAACTATGCAATGCCATTTGGGTTTAAAATAAGCAGAAATCTGACGCCAGCTCAATCGGTGAAAACTGTTACTTGACTTGGAGTGCAGGTTGAATTCTATGGCCTTTGACGTTGCTACATTGGCCGTGAACCGTATTTCCCAAATGGTTGAGTGCCACCAGGGAAAGGTGTTAAGATTGGCCAACCAGGGCTGTCTCAGGTTTCTGCACCAACAGGCTTGCAGTGACATCACTGAGAGGGGCGTGGCTGCTCCAGCGGTTGCCAGCTCTCCTGTTGGCCGCTGCGGAGCTTTACAGCTTCACAGTGAAATGTGAATGAATGGCTCAGCAAAAAGGCTGTGGTGATGAAATGGCAGACAAGACATGGAATTCACTCTGCGTAGGGTGCAATTTGCTCCACAGGCCAAACCTGGGGTGAGAATGACGGTACGGGCCCGAGTTACCTTTAGAGCCGTGACGCTGTCCTCGTGAGCTCTGACTGAGTGACAGCACTCTCCAGATAGCCAGCTCCACACCTCCACCTTCCCACCATCTGAGAGAGAGAGAGGAGGGGGTTAAATACAGACCAGCATGGAGAAATGCAACAACGAGCCAGGGCGCTAGACGATCCATCACTGGCTTTACAGGTGATTGGACATAATGCGTGTCGTGGGAAATTCTCCATCTGCAGAGCAGCAGACAGTCTAGTGTGGTCTGAGTCTTTATTGAGCTAATAAGCACAGCAACACGGCATCGAGTCTGCCTCGCAGGAGAGACACACTGTATTGCAGCTCTTACATACAGTACAGGTTCAGAAAGCCCTTAGGTTCCCATTTTGAGTGTCTGCTCTGTTCTTTGACATGTGACTCCTTCTGCTCTTAACACCCTGTGGAAGGAAATTAGTTGCTGCAGCTGTTCAAGCACGTCAGCTTTATCCTGCATTAACACAACGTTTGGTAAAGACCTAATTACGAGATCCCAGCACTGACTCTAACACCTCCCACAGTGCAGGGCTGCAATCTACAGACGTCCCTTCGCACGTGAAGGGTGAGACTCCTCCAAAGACAAGGTTCTGACCGGCGAGAGCCGCCGTGGGAGGAAGAGGAGGCTTCGGCCGATGATGAAGACGGTCGTTCTGAGTCGGGGCCGGAGATCAAGGCTGGAGACCAGCGTAGCGTTTCAGACAGGCCAGTCTGCACTTTTATAGATCACGCACAGCAGTAATAATAAGAATTGCTTATACTTAATATAGCACTTTTCTGGACACGCACTCAAAGCTCTTTACAGGTCATGGGGAATCCCACTGTCACCACCAGTGTGCAGCCCCACCTGGATGATGCTCTAGTCCTCTCCCCACACACCAGCTCTCAGTGGGGAGGAGAGCAGGGTGATTCAGCCAGTTCAGAGAGGGGGATTATTAGGAGGCCATAACTGGTAAAGGCCAGGGGGAAATTTGGCCAGGACACCGGGGTAACACCCCTACTCTTTTTGAGAAACACCCTGGGACATTTAATGACCACAGAGAGTCAGGATCTTGTTTTTTATGTCTCATCCAAAGGACGGTGCCATTTGTATTACAGTATAGTGTCCCCGTCACTATACTGGGGAAGTTAGGACCCCCACAGACCGCAGGGTGAGCCCCCCCTGCTGGTCCCACTAACTCCTCTTCCAGCAGCAGCCTCAGCTTTCCCAGGAGTCTCCCATCCAGGTACTGGCCAGGCTCACACCTGCTGAGCACCGGAGGGGCTGCCACTGAAGGTCACACAGACATCACAGTGCAGACGGCAGGCCAGCCCATGCTTTTACAGATTGCGCACAGCAGCGACAGACACAGCCGAGCGGAGTTTCCCTGCGGCGAGACGGCGGGGGCAGATTCTCACAGGAGGCAGTCGGCCGCATATGCTCAAAGCGTGTCTCGTCCAGAAATGTGGAAAAGCACAAAGGCATAAGAAATAAACAAATGATCGCCGCGCTTAGCGGGGCAGCGTATGTTCGGCAGGCGGGGGAGTGTGGGGGGCCATCGGCCCCGTCTGCCAACTTTCAGTGAAAGCCTGCGCTCGGAGGAGTGGCGGCGAGCAGGGGGGCCCTGCCAAGATTCAGAGCCCGGCTGGCGGAGCTGTTTTCACGAGCAGTCGGTGGGGGGCTTGGGAGGAGAGGCACCTTACGTCGGCCATGTATCACATGCAGTTTGCAACTGCTGGATATGGCCACTAGGGGGCTATCTGAGGCCACCTGTCGGGGGGGGGGAGGGGGTCATTCAACGGCCACAGCAGACCCCAATCCCCCTGGTTCACTGGCCCCTTGCCCCCAGCAGGAGCTACGGCTGACAGTTTGATCTCTGTGCGGCACACATGCAAGAGCAGACAGCAACGCGAGAGAGGCACCAGCACCTGAGGATTAAGATAAGAAAAATGCCAAGCCGGGTGACATTTTGAACTGTTCGGATCCGAAAACAAGAGGACTAAAACACTAACAAGCATTGGCTTTGAAGTCACTAACGGAAATGGACATGGGGCAGTGGGGTTATTATTGATTACTGATAACAGGACTACTACGTAGCAAAAAGGGTTTGTAACCCAGGGACCCCAACTCAGAACAGGAGGCACCTCTTGTGCACAAAGGGTGGCGGGAGTGTGGAACAAGCTGCCCAGCCATGCTGACGAAGCCAGTGCCCTGGTTTCTTTCAAGAAAGAGCTGGAATGAGATCTTCCAATCTGGACAGGAGGCACTGCTTTACACAAAGAGTGGTGGGAGGGTGGGACAAGCTCTCCAGCCATGCTGACGAAGCTGATACCCTGAGCTTCTTTCAAAGAAACAGATGGATGAGATTCGGGGATCAAGTGAGCTACCACATAGGCTAGGTAGGCCAAATGCCCCCACCTTAATTGGAACTACTCTTTTGCAACCACAAGACCTTTAACACAAGTGTGCGGCACGAATTCCTCATCATTACCTGACCCAGTGACGATGTAGCCCTCCCCTTCTGGGATGAAGCTGAGAGACATGACGGAGTTAAAGGTATAAATAGACCTGATGCAGGAGCCTGTGGGAGAGAGGGAGGAGGTTCAGAATCGCTTCACTCAACGATATTCAGTCTGGAACATCATTTCAGCAAGCCAAGAGCCAAAGACCCTTACCGAACAAATAGAGTAATTAAATGGGGCATCATTCAAAGAAATTCACACATATTCTGCGCTCCAGATTTTGTAATGGAGCTCAACCCTTTATGTTGCTCTGAATGATATTAACGAACCACATGGCGGCGCTAATTGATCTCATTCCGGCCAATAGCCCCTCAAAGACCATCACGGCGTCTGGCGATGTTTAATGTCTGATTTCAATTAGTTGTGCGTCAGGCGTTGCTGAGCGGGGAAATGGGTTTTGGAAACCCTTTGCGTGGTGACATTGTGATCGTCACCCTTCTGCCTAACCCCCCCCCACCCATCCCAGAGCTAAAGAAGGTTTAATAGGGTCTGATTGGAACTGATTAGCAAAGCCCAGGTGGTTTCAGCAAGTGAGCAGAGCTGCAATTTTCACTGTGGGGAAAATCACATTTTCCCTCTGATGTCCCCTGAGACCCCATCAGCTAAAATGTGAACCATTTATAGACGTGCTTAATATCCACATCTCAGGCTCGGGTAAAAGTCGGTTTCGTTTTAGAAGGAGAATTCGTTCAGCGAATTTGCTGGATTGTTTCAGCATCCTGAAAACAGCTGAACTGACTCGGATACCCCACTTTTCCCCCCTCTTTTTCTCACCTCTCCTCGCTGGGGAGGTTGCTTTGCACAGATAAGGCCGCACGTGACACACACACGCGTTCTTCCCTTCTGGGCAAAAAGGATTAGCAGGCTGACAGTTACGGTCGGAAGCCTTTTCACTCCGCTGTGCTGGCGTCCCGCCGAGAGTCCAGCAGGAAACGCGCGCCTCGCTTGTCGCAGGCTGCTCCGATTGCGACACCCCCTGCGTGAGGGCTCATTTGTGCCGGCTGATGCCAGGGCAAAGAGGATTTGTGTCGGGAACAGCAGGAAGCCCGACTGAGCCAGCATTTTACCAGCAGAAGAAATCACTATAGTCATAACAACCCAGAGGACCGAGATTCATCCACTCCACACCACTACTTTCACACACTTGACCCCAACCATTCCCAGCAGGACTCACACGCAGACAGGTTTTCCTTAGGTCCGTATGGGAGTTTTCCTCTCCTGGTGGCTACTGTGTCCCACTATCACACACTAAACTACTCTACATCCACTCCCACTGCTCATCCATTTTCACACACTGACCCCAACAGGACACTCAGAGCCTCTCCCAGCTGGGCTCTCACACACAGCCCCATACTGCCTCACTGCACACAGCTCCTTCCTGGACCCCCAGAGGTCTCCTCTCCTCCTCATGGGAGTTTTACTCTCCTGTGCCTGATGTGTCCCACTATCACACACTAAACTGCTTTACAACCACTCCCACTGACCTCCTTTTCATCTGCTGCGCTGTACAAGCCTCTCGGTTTTGTCTGTGTAAATTAAGTGTCAAAAGAGCTCGCTGACACCTTCCTATGCACTTAAAATTAATAAAAATGGATCAAATCACACCTCAAAAACATGCAAGAGCTGAAGTTGTAGCAAAGCATCTCCGATGACACATAATTCTGGTGCACTCAATGGGTCACGAGGTGCAGTTATGGCCTCAAAGTGATGTGAGATTAAATAAAAATACCGACTTTTACTATCTGAAACTGACTTCCAGTGAATGGGCCCAGATACGTATGGTCACTTGCACACAAAGTATGGTTTTGCGCAAAAAGAATCAAACATATGCATGGTATCACCTAAAAATAAAATCTGTATTATACAGTACTTATCATTCATGTTAATCTCACAATAGCAAATACATTCCTTGGCTGTAAAACACCAACAAGTGATTGTTCCATCACTAGTTAAAGCTAGCCTTCCTCACCTGCTTAACAGTTCCTTGACCTTTTGCTAAGTGGTGTTGTGATGCAAGGGCCTCATCTACACAATTTGTTTCTCTAAAAAAAGGCCGCATTCAAATATACTCGCCTGGACCTCAGGACCTCGCTCACCCCACCCCCTCCAGTGCACCCTGGGAAATGTAGTCTTCCAAGACCGGGGACTCACCGGAATTCAGAGCCCAGACTCTCACACAGCTGTCAACGGACCCGCTGAGAATGAACCTCTCCGAACTGCCGAGCCCCAGAGAGCGAGCTGGGGTCACGAGGAAGGAGGGAGGAAAAAAAAACAGACAAGAAAAAAAAGTGAGCAGAAGAAGGAAAGCAAATGACCACCCAGGCTGGCTCCTTTCAGGGAAAAGATGCCTAAAGAAAACTTGGCAACCTGGGAGAGCCCAGCAGGCACATCTGGGCAAGGGTCGTGGCCGGGCACGGGAAAATTCCTGCTCAGCTCGGTAGAGATGGGCGTTATTTTACAGAGGTGCTCTTCCGACACACATCTGTGGCATCCCAGTGCTGACCGGACTGACGTTTTGTTTCCGGGTATCCTGGACCTAACCCATACTTGGGAGCGTGCTGGAAGGCGTCGCCAGCTGCCCCAGAGCGGGGCATCACTCTTGGGGTAACTGTGAGGAGTAATCGACGTTCGCATCACCCACAATCCAACCTGCTCCCGTCACACTGACGAAGTAATCACGAGAGCACACCATTACCTCTACTTGCTCGGGTGACTCAGGAGATCTGGAGTGTCTTCGCCAACGTTCACAAATTTCTACGGATGCCCTGTAGTAGCCCTGTAAACGAGCAGGAGGTGGAAGCCTCCAGGGTCGGTCTGGGGGACTGGATGCCCCCCCACTGTCTGCACCGCTCACCAGAGGAGAAGGACTGACTGAGGACCGGGGAAATGCGAGTTTGGAAGGGCTGTGAAGAGTGTCGGCGGGAGGGACTTCTTGGAAGTGGAGAAGCATGATGACTTGGAGGGGCGTGTTTGTGGAGGGTGGTCGGCGGTGTGTTAGGCAGGGGACGTCAGGAAGAAGTTGAGGCAGGAGCTCAATGAAGAGCTGAGGGTTTTTTGGTTAGTCGTTTTTGGTTGCGGTGTTTTGATTTCCCTGCCCTGCTCAATGAAAGGCGCTGGGGTGTTTCAACCTCATGGCTGTGTGTTTGGTGTGTCTGCTGTCCTGGATGTGCCTATTTTTTAAGATCCCAAACCAAGTGTATATCACAGTATAAATATGCAAAAGGAACCATTCGATTCGAACACAGAGTCCTAGAATCTCCACTTCAGTCGCCCCTGGCCAAATGAACATGAATTACAGGCCCTCGGTGTAGTCATTTGCTTGTCTGCTACCCAGATGGGCTTCTTTACGAGCAGCAGGAACTGCTGATCAGCCCTGTGTCCTGTGTGGCTCGATGAGATGAGAAATTACCCAGGATGTTGCAGTGCTCCGGGGGTGGCAGGCTCAGGCAGGTGACGCCACCTGTGTGACCACCCAGGTGCCGCTGCTCCGTCGCCGTGGGAACGTGCCAGACCTTCACGGTTGTGTCCCGACTGACCGAGGGGGAAGAGAGTGGAGGGGGTTAATATAAACACACTGGACAACGGGACACTGCAGTACAGTAACGCTGCAGGCCAACTTTCTGGAGGTAACTGTAAATTTAAAATAATGATAATCATTCCTTACACTTATATTGCGCTTGTCTGGACACTCCACTCAAAGCTCTTTACAGGTCATGGGGATCCCCTCCACCCCCACTTGTGTGCAGCCCCACCTGGATGATGCCCCAGTCCTCTCCCCACACACCAGCTCTCAGTGGGGAGGAGAGCAGAGTGATGAAGCCAGTTCAGAGATGGGGATTATTAGGAGGCCATGACTGGGAAAGGCCAGGGGGAAATTTGGCCAGGACACTGGGGTAACACCCCTACTCTTTTTGAAAAACACCCTGGGATTTTCAATGACCACAGAGAGTCAGGACCTTGGTTTTATGTGTCATCCGAAGGACGGTGCCTGTTTACAGTATAGTGTCCCTGTCACTATACTGGGGCATTAGGACCCACACAGACCGCAGGGTGAGCGCCCCCTGCTGGCCCCACTAACACCTCTTCCAGCAGCAGCCTTAGTTTTTCCCAGGAGTTTCCCATCCAGGTACTGACCAGGCTCCCACCTGCTGGGCTTCAGGGTATTGCAGGGTGATACAGCTGCTACACATGAAAGAAAGGTTCTAAGACCATGTTGTCCTAGTTGTGACACTGACCTTCCGGAAACAACATGATTGTCGACAACAGCAACGCAGGTGATGATGTCACTGTGACCCTCCAGGGACCTTAGGCGGAACTTCACTTTTTCCCATGATTCTCTGGCAGCAAGAAATCCTGTGTCTGGGGAAAACAAAATAAAATTCTTAAACTCTGACCCTTAGGTCTAGCTGTATCCCCAACTCCAACTCTAACCTTAAGCTGCGCAGAACCTTACTCAGCCCTCTCCTACCCAGAACTGTTTTGGAAGTGCATTTAAAACCAGGAACATGAGAAACTACTTTACGCAAAGGGATGTGGGGGGGTGGAACAAGCTACCCCCCCCAGGTGGTTGAAAACATCACCTTGGCTCCATTCAACAAAAGGCTGGCTCCTTGGCTCATTTACTTGGCTCATTTAATTAATAACGACCAAACAGGCCAGATTGGTTTGTAATCGTTGTGTTCTATGGCCCATGTTCCCATCATACCCGCTGTGCTGCCTTCTGTCTCCGCTGGGCGGGCTGTGCTTTTAGTGTCTTCTAGCTTTGACTGTTTCACAGGCACTTCTTCGGGCAGCCCCGAGACTGGGGCCTTCGACTCCTGGGCATCTCTGCTCTGACTGAAGAGAGATTACGGAATGAAAATAAAAATGGCGTCCCACTCTTCCCTGCCAGAGCTCGGGGGCACAACAGCCAAATCTAGGTCTTACAGGGTTTGATTTTGCACACTGGTACTGGTTCTACTACCACCTTGGTGTGATATAAAGCATGTCTTTGATTACCGATTTTCCAAAATGCTGGATAATCCTGTCAAAGTCTTTATATCAGTTTGTTTGCGCACATTCTTTAATAGCACTGTGATTTGGGGTGTTGTGTGCGCATTGTTTATTTTTTAATTTCAATCTGAACGTTTAAAAGTACCGAACTGCAGAAACAGTGCTGTACAATGCTTCATTTTAATGGAAAAAAATGGAAAGTGCAATTTATTTCCTTCAGTGCAGGACCTGCACACCGAGAACATTTTTTTTGTGGAAATAATGCTTGATTTACTTTCACTAGATCAGTCTGTGGCCACGGGGAAATTTAAAATTCTGAGTGACCTGCTGCTTAATAAATACAAATTTTCCACCTGCTGTGCCTGTAAAGAGACGCCCTCCCTCAGTGAAATGTTGACTTGGTATGGTTCATCCATCCATCTTCTGAGAGATTCAACCACACAGTCCAGTCTTTCAGAATTAACCCTTCCATCTCAGCGCAGTGTCACTCCAGAGCCCAGTCATTCAGAATTAACCCTTTCATCTCAGTGCAGTGTCACTCCAGAGCCCAGTCTTTCAGAATTAACCCTTTCAACTCAGCGCAGTGTCACTCCAGAGCCCAGTCATTCAGAATTAACCCTTTCATCATTCTCACACTCGTCTCTTCATGGTCTCCCGCCCTCTCTCCTCGGCGTCGCTTCCCACGATGCCCTGGGCTTCCTGCGGGAGGCGTGCCAGCAGCTGGGCCAGTCGCGCGCAGAGCTCCGCCTTCCGGGACACCTGGGAGAGTCAATGCCCCGGTTACACACACACTCCACAGAGAGGAGCCAAGGAGCGCTCTGACCCCCAAGCATGGAGAGCAAGCTGGCGTCTGCGAAAAGACAAATTCCTAATGCGAGAAACTGTATATGGCCAATAAAGTGATCTGATCTTATCAGCTCCCCCACAACCCTGTTACTGCATAACCTGTACAGAAAATTCTGTCAGTCAAACGAAAGACCAGAGTCTGCCTCACAGTGGGCAGCACCTGGTGGTGGGAGGGGAATCCTGGGACACACTGACCTTCTCCCTTTCCTCCCCCGTCAGCTCGCGCTGCAGGATCTCCAAGCCGGCGATCTGCCGCAGTTTCTTCCGAAGCCTCCGGATCTCGGGCGAGAGCAGGTCCTGACCGGACATGGCAGCCCGCTCGTCCTGGGGGCAGGGAGAGGAGCGCGAGCAGCGTGAAATCGTTTGTCACTGCGGCGCGCAGGAAGGAGGAAGTCAGAAACGCGAGGGGGCTGCTTGACTCACCTAGGCCAAGGCGGTGCAGGAGGCTGGGGGTTAAAGAGGAACTGCCGTTCCCATTTCTCAAACTAGTTATTGAATCTGGGTAACAAAATAAATTTGTATAGGTTTATAGCAGAGCAAAATCTTACAAAGTCCTAATTAAGCCCCAAAATGGTGTTGTTGCAGACCCCTTGTCTCACAATGGGTGTGAGAGAGAGAGTTCCCATGAATTATGATGAGAGGCGGCCCTTCCTGCTCACTAGTCACTGTACTGTGATGTGATGTGATGGACAAGCGAATAAGTACAGGTTGTGCAGCAGACACGTTGCACTGTTCCAGCGTGATGCGCACGCAGAGTGAACAAGTCAGTAGTATTTTTTGGCAAAATCTGTCTGGAATTGGAGAGCAGTATTTCTACTGGATTAAAAGAGCTGGATTCACAAGTCTGCTTGTTTACAATGTCATAGTGACATCACCTCACCAGAAGTGTTGTTGCCTCATCGCAGAATATGGCACTATTCTCACAAAATGACAAAATTAAGTCTTTTTTGTTATTTACTGTCACTGTGGTTTGAAATGCACTCATCAGTGCCGATTCTTTCAAACCCCTAAATCTAAAAATAGCATTGCCCTTAAAGCTGAACTATGTGGGATACAGGTATGGCCCACCAGAGAAAGAATGAAGACGGCAAGCATTCCTGAGTGTCAAATCCCTAAACCTTTGACAGCTGAAAGGGTCAAAGGTCAAAGGCCAAACGTTGGGGGTCATAGAAACTGGAACATTACCAGATATGGGCCCTTAGTTACCTTGACAAAATACAGCTTTTGTACCAATTCGGGTAAAAAAGTAATGTACATTCTACATAAACCACTAAAACTTTGTATTTAATATACATGTACTTGTCAACATTTCCAACACAGTGGAACAGTCTGAGGACTGAAGGTTTTTTTTTTTGCTGGGTTATGATCGCTTCAAGTGAAGCTCGCCAGGCAACATCCAGGTAGGATGTGCCTACAACTGCGGCAGTGAGTAAAACTGAAGATTTACCATCAACCTGCCAGTTCTTTTCTCCAGCAGGTAGCACATTCATTTTTTTTCTAGTCACCAACAGCTCCAAGAATCACTTCCAGCCCTTTCTCGAAGGAAACCTGGGTATCGGCTTCAACAATACGGCTGGGTGGCTTGTTCCCCACCCCCACCACCCTTTGTGCAAAGAAGGGCTTCCAGCTCTCAATTTTAAATTCACGGCCATGTCGTTTCCTACCGCCGGTGTTCAGATCCCGTTAAAAATAAATCAGTACGCTTGGCTTCGTTGTCTCTGAGCTTTATTTTAATACTTGAATCAGATCTCCTCCTGTTCAACACAAAAAAGGCTCAGTTCCTTCAGCCTGTCAAAATGGTTCTTCCTGTGGTTGCTCTTTTGTGGACTGATTCCAGAACAGCAATATCTCTGTTTAACACCTAAGACACTGCACTGGTACAACATCTTATATGCTTAATTAAGCCATATGAAAAACCCTTCAGAATCCTGTATCATTCGGGAATAATACGTCTAATCCATTTTAAATGAGTCAAATTATTAAAAAAAAAGAAGTTAGTTAAGGGGGAGTCATAAAACCTGCTGAATTGTTGATCTCAAGGACAAGAGAAATGAAATCTGCCTTTTCAGAGAACCTCCGCACTTACAGTACGTACAGTATGAACAGTTTTGTTCAATACTTAGACGAGTCTATACCAGTAGATCGTGTGTGAAAACAATCTCTTCCCGATTGAGTTTTTGTTTTCCTAAAATGTCTAAACCTTGTGAGCGTAAATACTGTACCTACCTACTCGTTACTACCGTCTCTGCTGTCTTGCTGTCTTCCTCAAGAGTTTGTAAGCGGCGCTGATTACCGACGCGGCGGTGACGTGTCGCCGACCTGAAAACACAGCTGCTCGACCTCCACGCCACCTCACCGGACTGACGTAGGCAAACATCATGACCTCACTTCCGCAAAACCCGTCTCACAAGCACGGTTCTCACGCGCCATCTTGTGAGGAAGATTGGGTACTGTATGAAACAGTCAACTGTGAAATAGCACATCATGTATTGAGTGTACTGCGCAGTATGATAATATGCTGTATGTCATAATGTTTACAATAATTAGTTTGAACAATTCCAATTTACACTGTGAATGTAAATTAAATTAAGAAGTTTTATAAACACTACGCATTAATACGTCTATATCTGGGCTGAGTGAATTTTCATTCATCCTAAGGTAGTGACAACTTTATTAGAAATTCAGATAAAGTTATGACACCAGAGCCTAAACCAACAGCCAAGAGGCGCGTGATGAGATACACCCTGGACAGGACACCAGTTCATCACAGGGCACACACACACAACAGGGCTGGTTTTCCCAGAAGCCAATGAACCCACCAGCATGTCTTTGGACTGTGGGAGGAAACCAGAGCACCTGGAGGAAACCCCCACAAACATGGGGAGAACATGCAGACTCCACCCAGACAGCACCCCAGGAACTGAACCCTGTACCCCAGTGCTGTGAGGCAGTGATGCTAACTACTGTACCACCTTGCTGCCCCCAATATATAGTAATAATTTTGTATCCATAAAATAAAAGGAATCCACACTTATGATTCATATTAATTCCATGATCAGAAATACAAGTTGCTTACTTGTAAAGCAAACAGACCAGCTTTGACTTTGCAGCCCCAGTAGGTTTGGAGGGTACTTCATATGATTTTGCTGGGCTTCTCTGAAAGCCATTCTTATATAAGATTTCCTGTGCTGTGTTTCAGATCAAAAGCATCACCCTTTTTACAATTAAAAGATAATCAATCTAGCGCTGTTAGCACTGACCATGAGGGCAGAGATAATACCCCTGCGTGAGAGAAATTGCCACCCCCAGACAATGCATAAGTGGTGCATTAATGACGATGGACCAAAATCGATTTCTGATACAGGCCGTCTTCTGCAAAAGTATTTCAAGCGCAGCGTGATGACGTCCTAGCCCGCAAGCGACCAATCAGATGAGACGTTCCGGCGGGGGTGCATGTTTTTTTCCCGGAACCCAGTGGCCCGCGGCAGGTTGTAGTATGTACCCCTGACGATCTTTTTGTCCTGAATTGTTATACGTACTTTTGTTTGTATTGTCGTTTTTGGTTATTCTGTTAAGCAGAAATAAAAATAACAAATTAAAAAAAAAGTTGTAGCGAGACTCGGAGAACCGGGAAGTGTCCCGCAGAGTGGGCGTGGGCGTGGGCGTGGGCGTGGGCCTTTCCAGAGAGTTAGACAACATTAGCGCCCTACTATCCCTACACATAAACACGCCGCTAGCCTCCTCGTCACGGTCCTTGTAGGTGTGTGTGCAGGAAATCCAGGTAAGGAGCAACTGAAGGTACCTTTATGCCATATGATAAAACAAGGGCTGTTTGTTTTTCACAACACCGAATAACATTGTAGGTACAGTAATACCTTTGAAATTGTTAATTTACGTGGTCTTTATTTTTTTATAACCGCAGATGTTTTGATTTGTACCTCTATATTTTTAAAAACGAAACGGACATGAATCGAAACCCCCCAAAAGCTGTAATAACCACCACCACAACAACTTCGTGTACAACGTATAAATTGTTGTTTTTTTGTTATTGGATACAGTTCCCCCTGTGGACCTCTTTTTATTGTATCTGATTTAGTTTTACTTTTGTGCTGTTGCCATCCGTGTATCTTTGTTTGCTCCTTCAGCAGATCCCACCACAACCATCGAGGTAAGGAGAGTGACGGTGCAAGTTTGAATTCCTTCGTGAAATGCAGGTTGTTCTCTAGTTCTCAGAGCAATAATGTTTAGTTTGGGACGAGGTGTGTTGCTGTCTCCTGACCTGTTTACATTCTTATGTACTGTATTGAAATGCAAGCGCGATTGCCCCAATATGTCCAAGTGTCTGTATTCTTCACCTTGATTCGGGGTTGCGCCAATACTTCTGCCAGGCGCCGTAAAAAGCTTTTTCACCACAAAGCAGCGCACGGCTGGGCTGATCTTAAAGACAGCGCTGCGAACCCAAAGTAGTTCTGGGAGTCTGTAAGGTCTTCTGTAAACTGGAAATGTGTGAGAACACACGTTTACATGCTATAGTCGTTCAGCCCTTTGAGAGCATTTGTTTGCTAGTAACTTATCGATTCAGCAACATGGCTAGGAAGCTTGTTCCATACTCCCACAACCCTTTGTGTAAAATGTGCCTCCTACTCTCAATATTAAATGCTTCTGGGTGATTTGCACTTGTTCACTGGTTCATATTTCACAGAGATTCTGAAGACGTCCACAGTGTTGCCTTTGTTAGAGTGATACTGAATATATAACAGTCTATATAACTAATCTGTCCAAGCTGTGTTTTTTTTAGTCGTTTCTATAGGGAAAACCTGAATTGGCTAATTCTGCAAGTCAGCTGGTTGTGTTCTCAGTGTAATCAATACAGCAAGTTCTTGTGTCCAGGAAGAAGATCACCCTTCTGCTGAAATGAGAAACTGATGGTATTTCAGATTCTGGATCTTAGTATTTATATTTATTTTAACTGCATTTTTTTTAAATATAAAATAAGTATTCAACATCTGACAAGCCCAACTCGGTTTGTCAACTCCTCAGCAAAACATAAACCAAGTGGAATCTATGTGGAAGTGAATTTATAACCCTGAACAGGAGGCTTTTTTTACACAGAGGGGGGTGGGAGAGTGGAACAAACTACCCAGCCTGAAGCCAGAAGTTAGATGAGCTTGTGGGATCAGTTGACAACTACCAATAAAGTGCCTGATGCGCTGAATGAACTCCTTACTTGTCTTGTCTTGGGGCAGTAACGCCAGAACTTTTTTTTCCTTTCTGTAGACAATGCAAAAGATATTAGCTGGAAAACGTTTGTTTTAATTCATTCCCCACCCCACAGAACATCTGCTGAAAATGAGAAACAGATGCAGTTTCATATCCTGGAAACCTGTATTTCCAGTGACAGTATAAATTGCGTTTTTTGATTCAGTGCCCTTTGCAGCATGTTGCCAGTGAGTTCTTTAGAAGTGATGAGCACATGATGAATGAGTGAGTTTGTGAAATCCTCTATTGTGTGAGTGTGAGCTGATGTTTAAACATGAAAGCTTGCTTCAGAATCAGCTGACCACATAGAGCTGGTTTGAAAGCGTCAATACCGCTTGTTTGCATCATCCCACTCTTTCCTGTCCTCTGCTGTGCCTTAGTGCATCACCGGAGTGTTTTCTTGGTGTTTTTCAGACCTTTGGCCTTGTGTTTTGTAGGTCAGTTCTTTTGGGGAAACATGAAATAGGGCAGCGTGGGGATGTTGTGGCGAGCATTGCTGCTGCTGCTCCTCTG